AAAATGCAATGATCTCACCATTTTTTTAATTTTAGTCAATTATGGATCATTTCTATTTGCAGTCAATTATTAATATTCATTTCCTTTTATATTTTTAGTCAATTAGTAATATTAAATTCATTTTTAGCCAATTATTCTTTTTTTTATTTTCAGACAATTAGTCAATTAGAATATAGATGCAATGATATTTTTACCTAATTTTCGTTCCATTTTTATTTGATGACTAGTTTTTTAGGTGCATTGCGCGATTGAGATAATACCAAATGTTTTTCTTAAATAAGTATTTTAAAGTATATCAAGGCAATATTATATTGGAATTGTTCATGTATAGATAATTGATTGTTGAATTTGCGTATTTAAATTGGTAATTCTAAGTTTACAAATGCAAAATAATATAGTCATGATTGATTATAATTGTCAATAAAATAATTGTATGGGTATGGTTGAAACCAAATACGGGATATAAGGGAGAGCAAATAAAAATTAAGTTCAGCCAAATACAGAATATTATTATTGAAATATTTCTGTTTCATTTTTAATTAACATTCCATTTTTAATTTACCTTTACTATTTTTAAAATATACATTTACTATTGATGATGTAGAATATTATTATTGAAATATTTCTTTTCCATTTTTAATTTTACTTTACTTGATGATGTAGAATATTATTATTGAAACATTTTCGTTCTATTTTTAACTTCCGTTCCATTGTTTGAAATTATGAAAAATTTATGATATAATTGTGATTTGATTTATTCTACTGTGTAATATTATTATAAAAAATTAAAATGCAATAATTTGACCATTTCTTTTTCCATTTTAGTCAATTATGGATTTTTTTTCAATCAATTATTAATATTCATTTCATTTTCCAATTAACCTAATTTTTCATTTATTTTTTCATTTTAATTTTCAGTCAATTATTAATATTCATTTCAGTTTCCAATTTACATAATTCTTTTTTTATTTTTAATTGATGATGTAGAATATTATTGTCACATATTTCTATTCCTTTTCTAGTTTATGTTCCTTTTTTTAATTTACCTTTACTATTTACTATTGTTTGGGCAGAAAATTAAGTAAATAGGATTTTTTTTTTAATTATAGTATAGATATAGATATAGATTATTTATTTATTTATTTATTATTATTATTATTATTATTATTATTATTATTATTATTATTATTATTATTATTATTATTATTATTACTAAGTTAATTCTGTTTCCTTTTTCATTTTTCCTTTTTTTTTTTTTTTTTTTTTTTTTTTTTTTTTTTTTTTTTTTTTGGGAAGAAGTGTTTGAGCAAGAATGAAAGAAAGAATTTATTTTTAATAATAAGTATAAATAGATTATTAGCTTAGTTATCATAATAATTATTAGTCAATTATACAAAAGGTGGGTTTGGAAACCCAAAAAATGATTCCAGAAATTATTTTCTGGGTTTTCAGTGTTTTGCTTGAGAGGAGAATTTTCTGGAAAATGGCTTTTCCTTTTTTTTTTTTTTTTTTTTTTTTTTTTTTTTTTTTTTTGAGGAAGTCATTTTCCGTTTTCAGTAGTGGAGCAGCCAATCACCCACCGCCGTCCACCACCACTGAATACAGCCAAAACTTATATTGCGTGGAATTTAAAATAAAAGTTGTTATATTATAAACAAAACAATAAAAATGTTTTTTATATATATAACAATTGAAATGTTTAAGTATACAATTTTACTCATTTTCTGAAAAATGAACCAAATACAAAGACATTTTCAGAAAAATGACTCAAATACACACAAAGACAGTTTACCAAATACACACAAAGACAGTTTTCCAAATACACAAAGACATTTATTGAAATTTTTTGATGTGCAGCCAAACATTTAAAAGAAAAATGTTTTCTGAAAAATAACTCATTTTCAGAAATCATTTTCCTACTTTCCAAACGAACTTTAATATCTGTACAATTAATTTGTTAATTTCCCTTTCAAAATAAAAAATTGTTAATTGTCATAATAATTATGGAAAATGACCTTGTTTGATTATTGACAAATTCTCAAAAATTTTAACAAATTCTCCATTTTAACATTTTGTTTTTAATCAAAACACCAAAATAAACTCAACAATTTGCTCCGAACAGCTAAAAACTAAAACAACACATATACATTTTGGGTTAATATTTCCCAAACACCCCTAATAATAAATAAGTTTTTTCTTAAAAAAAAAACTAAAATAAAAAGTCATTAAACTAAGACTTTTTAAATAAGAGCCTTTTGGCTTCTCAATAAGTGCCTGAAATATATTTCTTATCTACTGTTTACCTCTCAATAAGTGCCTGAAATATAAATGTTACCTGTAGGTTAACTGCATCAAACAGCCCTTTACGCAGTATCAACACTGCAATTGTGTTGTCTCAATCCACAGGCATTGATGACTTCACCAGTGGTGCTTTGACTGTCACTCCAGTAGCTGATCTGTTGAAAAAGAAGCAGGTTAGACTCTAAACTGTTATAAATCCTTAATACAGTCCACAAAACTCATTATACATTTAATAAGACAGAGTAACCAAGTTACGTTTTCTATGGTAGAATGGGGAGTTCTATGCACCTGCTGAAATTGTGGCCATTGAAGGCTCTTTTGGATGGATGTACATCTCATGCATGTCACCAGGATGTAACAGAAAGCTTTCTGGACAATTAGGTGATCTGATTTGTACACACTGTGATAAGAAGTATCAAGAGGGCATGGCAAGGTATCAGGTCAAAGTTATTGTTCTAGATAAAGGTCTACGAGATGCTCCATTCCTTTTATGGGATAGAGAGTGTTCTGAATTAGTTGGTATCCCGGCACACAGTTTGTACACGAAGTATAATAAGGTAAAGTAACAGTACTGTAAAATTTAACACTTCATATGAACTGTGTTTGTCTTTTTTTTTTTTTTTTGTTTTAAGTATGCTATTTTCTTTATTTTAGGTTCCTGAAATTCCAAGAGAATTGGAATCCTTAGTTGGTCTGAGAATGATATTTAAGATATCATTAAAAATGGAGTTCATGAAGAGAGCTAATTCAGCCTACACTGTGATGAGAGTTCTAAGGGATGAAGTCTTAGTGTCAGCATACTGTTCTAAACTTATTGAAGACCAAGAGAAGGACTTGATGACAAAAATGATAGATGAGGATGGGGATGAAGATGAGGAATCTGATCAGGTTGTTATTTTTAATAAAGTAAAATAAATATTTACATTTTTAAGTCTATGTTTGACATGTTTTGGACTAAATCAACTTTTAATATACAGGAGGCTTCTAATGGAGACAATGAGGTCAACAGTCCATTAAGTATACAGCAGTCTCAAAGTCTAGACATTGAACCTGAAGATCCTAATGGTGTCAAGAGATCGCTTCTGGATCAATTCTCTTCTTCTAGGAAGAAGGGAAAAAATGTTGTTGTTAAACAGGAAAAAATTTAAGATCTTGGATACTACAGACTATTACCACATTTCTGTGGTTTTTATATTTTGCCCTGCTCAATTTCTCTTTGTTTGTGCTGAACAATTTCATTATGTTTCAATCTAAAATAGACTCTTTGCCTTTGTTGTTTACCTATGCTTTCTTTTTATACACTGTGTTTATTAGTTTATATATTGTTAGATATATGAAACTGTATGCAGGGCAAGAATGAAGGGAGCAAGCAAACAATCTGAGAAGGAACCAAACACAAGGAAGCAAACACAATCACAATCAGTTAAGGAAGCAAGCATAGTCAACCAGGGGACCAGAAGAGGGTTTAAACTGATTTAATTTTACCCATCTGCTAAATTTGTAGTCAAGTACTAAGTCTGTATTTTTAATTATACTATATCTACTGTAATAAAACTCAGTATTTGCACTATATACATATTGCTATATTCTTTCAAACTCACACAGTTTAAATATCATCATTAGCAAACTAATAAAAAAGACAAACATCTACCAATAGTAAAACAGTTACACTGTATAGAAAACATATAATCAATCAAACACACTAATGGTTGAAATTAAAACACTAAAATTGAAAGTAATCAAATATACATTCACTTTATAGATAGTCCTACATTCTATACCTTTAAATCAACATTATTTTAATTTAGATATATAATTGGTCAAGTTCAAATGCAATTCAACTTTAAAGTTAAAATTTAATTATAATAGATAGTCCTACATTCTAGACCTTTAAATCAATATTACTTTCATTTAGATATAGACTTGGTCAAGTTAAAATGTAATTAAACTTTAAGGATAAAATTTTAACCAAAATAATAGATTGACCAGATTATAAGTATATAGTCCTATTTTCTACACTTTTAAATGAACAGTAGTTAAAAATTATATTTGACTTTGTCAATTGAAAAGTAGATAGTCAATTTTAGCACTAACTCAATTAAACCCCAAAACAGCAATCAAAACAAATTAAAGAAAAAAAATAGTCTTCTGGTGTAACCTGTGGGTGTCCCCCTTCCATATATTTCAAAAAAAAAAAAAAAAACAGTTTTGGATTGCTCAAAATTTAGTTTAAACAATGATAGATGATACACATTCGTATGAAACATAGCTGAGTAATACTTCTCTTTCTAGAATTACAAAATCACACTGTTTTTTAGTACATATCTGTAAAAAGTACACTATAGAGAACTATTCTTTATGACAACTAACCTAAAAGAACCTTACTTTAATTTAGATATAGCTTTGGTAAAGTTAAAATTACATTATACTTTAAGGACAAAATTGTATCCAAAATATTTGATTGATCACAGTATAAGTAGGATGAGAATTCAAAATCAATTCCAATTAACCAACGATAGAATTACAGGAGAGTATATCTCAGTCTACCTCTAACTACTCCTATCTAATAGGATACAGTAGACTCATTCTAACCATAGAAAACTAATCATAGGTTATACAATTATAAACAAAGATAAAAATATTAATACTCACACACCCCCTCAAGCACACGGTGCTAGAGACACAACGTTGAGCTTGTCTCAAAGAGCTATAAATCTGGGTTCGGGAAGAGGCTTGGTGAAGACATCGGCCAGCTGATCTTTAGTCAATACAAAATTAACCACAAAGTCCCCGCTGGCAACCTTATCACGGACGAAATGATAGTCGATTTCAACATGCTTCGTCCTGGCGTGGAAAACTGGATTAGCACACAGATATGGTGCTCCTAAATTATCACACCACAGAGTAGAAGGCTGCCCAGTGTGTAGACTAAGCTCACGGAGAAGAGAGACAACCCAAGTGACTTCAGCGGCAACATCAGCTAGGGCTTTATATTCTGCTTCAGTCGAAGAGCGGGCCACAGTCCGTTGCTTCCTTGATAGCCAAGAGACGAGATTAGTCCCGAGAAACACCGCATACCCACTAGTGCTCTTCCTATCAATCGGACAGCCGGCCCAGTCAGAGTCGGAATAGGCGTGAATGGCAGCAGTCGGAAAGAACTAAGACGAAGCCCATAATCCAAGGTGCCTTTGATATACCGTAAGACCCGCTTGACCATGGCCCAGTGATCAACTGTCGGAGTATGCATAAACTGACACAAACGGTTCACTGCGTATGATAGATCCGAACGAGTAATAGTGAGGTACTGTAAAGCCTCAACAATTCGACGGTACTGTGTGGGATTATCAAACGGTTCATCAGATGGAGTTACGGCCTGTGTGGTGGATGCGGGTGTGGCTAGTTGCTTGCAGTCAACCATACCAGCTCGATTCAACAAATTAGACATATAACGACGCTGGGATAGGATCATGCGCCTTTAGTGTCCACAGTCTCAATGCATAAGAAGAACCCCAGTTTGCCAAGATCCCGGATCTTGAACGCAGTAGCCAGCCGGCTTAATAAAGTATTAACCAGTGTAGCATTGCTCCCCATCATAATGATGTCATCGACGTAAACAAGGAGAAAAACCTGACACCCATCTGAGCTGTAGTAGAAGAGAGAGACATCCGTCTTTGACGCATTAAACCCTGTGGTAAGAAGAAAGTCACGCAGCCTCTTGAACCATGCCCTCGGAGCCTGTTTCAGGCCGTAGAGAGACCTTTGCAAGTGGCAGACGTGATTAGGGTGAGTCGGGTCCTCGTAACAGGAAGGTTGCTTCATATAGACTGTTTCGGCTAGATGCCCATTTAGGAATGCATTGTGCACATCTACCTGTCGTAGAGTCCACTTGTTGGTGATGGCCAACGAAAAAAGAAGCCGAACCGTTGTCGGTTTGACCACGGGACTGAAGGTGTCGAAGAAGTCCTCTCCGGCTACCTGATTAAAAACCTTTCGCCACAAAACGAGCCTTGTGCCGTTTTACCGAGCCATCTACAGTACGCTTGGTGCGAAACACCCACTTACATCCGATTATATTCATAGTAGGATCAGGTGGGACCAGACGCCAGGTGTTGTTATGCAGTAGAGCATTAAACTCCTGATCCATGGCATCCCGTCACTGTGGGTGCCCAACTGTTTGAGAATAACATGTTGGATCAGCAGTGACTGCAGTTAGGGCGTGGAATTCTTCATCAGTGCCCTGTGTCATGCGGCAGAGACGCATAACATGATCCCGCTCTTGAGGTTGTGTCCGACCCCGACCCCGACCCCGCCCCCGAGAAGCCGGTACAGTGAGCTCAATGGCCAATTGTGGCACTTCTTGAGCTATTGGCTAGGGGTCAGAGTCGTGTGGTATAGTAGAGATAGGGCTAACTGCAGGTTCATTGTGAACTGGTACTATGGGACCAGCTGCCCACGGCACAGGCTGTGGCTCAACAGCTCGCGGTGATGTACCTGTGGCAAAGGGAAAAATAGACTCGTCAAACCGCACATGGTGACATATATACGTCTTCCCACAGGTTAAGTCCATGCATCTGTATCCTCGAAAGGACGGAGGATACCCCAGAAAGACACACGGTGTGGAACGAAACTCTATTTTATGCCGATTATAAGGCCTTAGATACGGGTAACATAAGCACCCGAAGACACGTAGAAACTGATATGGGGTAACTTTTATTGAAGGCAGTAATATGGACTTTCAAAATTTAATGTTGAGGAAGGTAGGTAATTGATTAGACACGTGGCTGTTTCGAAAGCATGATCCCAGTATTGTTGTGGGACAGCCCCTTGGGCGAGAAGAGCCAAGCCCGTTTCGACAATGTGTCTGTTACGGCGCTCAACTCTTCCGTTTTTCTCATGCGTGGTAAGCGCATGATTGACGGTGATTAATCCCAAGGGTTTGAAACGTGGTATGAAGTTTGCGGTACTCACCCCCTAGATCCGACTGTATAGACTTGATAGAGCGCGAAAATTGCCGCTCTACCAACACACGAAACACATCAAACATTTTATAGATGTCTGATTTTACCCTTAATGGATAAAACCAGCAATACCGGGAATGATCATCAACAAACAGAAGGAAATAACGATAACCACTAGACGAGACAACTGGTGGCAGGCCCCGAGATGTCCGTATACAATAGATCTAGTACATTGTTGCTAGATTCTTTTATCCTATCTAATTGAAACCGAGAGGACTTGCCGAGGTGACAAGCCGTACATGACCCGAAACTAGTTTTATTTTGAGTAACTGAACAATGCTGAAGAATTTTATTTTGCACTAGACTATGTGGATGACCGAGTCTGCGATGCCAGATTGTGGGTGTTGGCCCGGGAACTGACGAACGCAAAATGACTCCAGGACACAGGTAGCTTGTACAGACCTCCAGAAGTCGGGCCTTTAAGAAGCGCTGCCTTGGTTTTGGAATCCTTCACAATGAAACAACTGTCATGAAATTCAAAAAACACACTATTTTCTTTAGCGAATTTTTGAACAGACAATAGGGGAACAGTTAATTTCGGGACATGTAATACATCAGATAGAAACAATTGTTTTGACAAAGATGGGATTGATGCATGGCCAACCCGTGAGATTACTAAACCTATACCGTTTCCCACCCGGAGCGTATCCGGGCCATTATACTCCTCCGCGGATGTTATCATGCGGCATCGGGAGTGGCATGAGCCGTGGCACCCGTGTCCAGGATACCACGCGTCGGCCGGTGGTACGGATGTGCCCGGGGACTCGCCGGACACTGCAACATGGGCTTGCGCAGGTGGCTGCGTCGTGTACCGTTTATAACAGTAGACCGCGATATGTCCCTGCGATCTACAAATTTGACAACGTGGTACACCGCGCTGATTTCGGCCACCCCGATGATTTCTGCCACCTCTTCCACCACGCCACTGGGACTGCCGGCCACCATCACCGCTGTTTTGATTATTGCTGGACTGGGAGTGTCGGCCACCACTGCCTCGGCCTGCATAGAGCGCGACGGCGAACCACTGCCAGCGTCCGGAAAGTCATCTGCCAATATGAAATCGGCGGCCTGCAGATGATCAGCCGAGATGCTGGAGCGACATCGGCGCATGAGCGGTGAGAGACGTAGCGTATGCACGGTACTCCGGCCTCAGGCCTCTCAGAACGTAAAGGTTCTGTTTCGGCATGGAGAGAGGCTGTCCAGCTTGCGCGAGTGCTTCTACCAGGAGCTCGCCCGTCCAAGGTAATCGCCCCGGCGTGGAGTTTCCTTGCTGGAGCGCCTGGAATGGGCCCAGCAAACTCAGACAACGAGCCTGCGTGTTGGAGCCGAGAGCGGTGCAGATTGATTTCCAAACGTCGGCGGCGGTATTCCGGCCAACCGCGAGATGCAATACCTCATCTGACATCGAGGATATTAATAGAGAAAGGATCGACTGATCCTGGAGTATCCATGTTTATATGCTGGGTTCGGGCTGTCGCCGTAGTGGTTGTGCTGGTACCGGAATTGCCGGAGACCGGTGAGAGTGGCTGCCGGCATGGGGTGGTTCCATCCACAAAGCCGATCAAATCCTGGCCTCTAAGAAAGGGTATTAGCTGGGTTCTCCAAAACAGAAAATTCCTAGAGGTTAATTTCATGATATAAAGTGGTGTGCTCCGGCGAGGGGGTTCGGGTTCGCCGGAGATGAACCGCCGCGGCAGATGGAGTGCGATCGAGGAGTTCGACGACATGGGTAGGGGTAGCGTTTTTGTGGTGGAGGATCGTGTTTAGGCTGATACCATATGAGAATTCAAAATCAATTCCAATTAACCAACGATAGAATTACAGGAGAGTATATCTCAGTCTACCTCTAACTACTCCTATCTAATAGGATACAGACAGTAGACTCATTCTAACCATAGAAAACTAATCCTAGGTTATACAATTATAAACACAGATAATAATATTAATACTCACAGTAGTAGATAGTCCTATATTCTAGACTTTTAAATGAACATTACTTAAAAATTAAAATTGGCTTGGTGAATTAAAATATATATATATATATATATATATATATATATATATATATATATATATATATATATATATATATATATATATATATAGTATAGCTTGCTGAAAATCCAATCTAATTATGATTGTCCTAACTAAATTAAAAACCTTACTAAATAGAATACATTACTTCAAAAAAATTTTAAAAAAATCAATGTATTCAAGAAACTTTCAAGAATTGTACAAAAAATATGATACACGTTAGAGCCTTCAAATTACCAGTAAAAACTCACACTGATGTTTAGTACATTACAAGATCACACTGGTATTTTCAAAATTGGCAAACTATATCATCATGTCAATTTCTGTATAAAAAAAAAAAATACACATTAGAGGACTGTTTTTTATGTTAACACATCTAAAATAGAAACATTTCAACAACTACAATTTACAAAACTAACAACTATTGTGTACTTTGAAGAGTAAATACTCATCCCATACTACATAATATATAATCTACTAATTTGTAATGTGAACACTAAGAAGCTGTGATATCTAAGAATCTGGCAGCACTGCCACAAATCATCATGTAACATGTATTCAATCTTTGTGCAAAAAAAAAAATGTCAAAACAAATAAAGATTCCATGTATTAAAAATCTATTTTAGTCATTCAATATGTGCATCAGAAACAAAGATTCATCATTTGTCAAAGAATCAAGAACGAACACAATTTTCTAAACTGATTTAAATATAGCCATCTGTCAATATTTAAACTGTATACACAATGCTATTTTACTTTAAAAATCACACATTTAAAAATTTTCATTACCAAACTACCAAAAAATAATAACATCTAACAATAGTCAAAATGTAACACTTCACAGATAATCAATCAAACACACAAATTATGTCATTCAAAAACTAAATTCAAAGGAATCAAATAGTTTAGCCATTATATACACGGTCCTACATTATAGACATTTAAATCAACATTACTTTCATTTAAATCTAGACTTGGTCAAACTGATCAAATTCTAAACAAAATAATAGAATTCATCAGAGTATAAGTATATAGTCCTATATTAAAATCTGAAAAATATGTATTTCTCATTTAGTAAGTGATCAAATATACTATCTCTTTATAGATAGTTCTACATTGAGTAATAATTACCATCACAGTTAGCAGGCCATCATCTAACATGTATTAAACTGTAGTGTACAATAATGGCATCAGATTTAAAGATTCATCATTTGCCAAAGACTTTAAAACAGTTTGTACATGTGTAAAATGAAGAAGTGCAAAAATATAAGGGGAACATGTGTATTCAATTACAGGAATAGTATACTGCATTGTGGTTTTCCAAAAAAAAAAAAAATTGAACAATCATAATCATTTTAGTATATGT